CTGCTGCCACAGTCGAGCAGTCCAGGGTGTGGACCTGAGTCCAATTGGGCCAATGAATCTCTTCTCAGCACTTTTTGTACTTGGGATGCAGAGATTTGGGTCAGTCTCTATGCATGTGGCTGTGCTTGTAGGATGTAAAGTTCAGGAGCTTCTTTTGCCATGTGGAGAAAGCCCTTCTACAGAGAAAAAAGAATGAAGCCAGTGTGCAAAGGAAAGCAAAGATAAGTGATGCAGAGATGACATCTTCATGGCATTGAGTCCCTGGTTTCAGCTGGTTCGGTCCAAATCGACACTGTTTATACATGGATGAGAATGTGTCTGGCTGGAAGGTGACTTAATTGCACAAAAATTATAAGCTGTCCCCACCAATTATTATACCATCTATGTAACCCAAAAAATTCTCTTGAACTTAAGTTTTCTCCCTGAGCCTACCATTGCCTCAACCAAAAGTTCAAGTAAAAACAAGAAAAAAAAATAGTATAATTTGATAAAATATTTATTGTACTGTTAGGTGTGGTAGAGTATAAAGAAGTATAGCTGACATAAAACCATCATTGAAAAGGTACAGACAATATGAACAAAAATGAAGGAGAGATCCTTGCAGGCCAAAAGGAGTCTTCTGGATGTGGGACTGATAAAAGCAGGGAAAGTTAGGCAGAGAGGAAACAGAAAGCCAAAGACCGTGTTCCATTTATAATTTATGAAGTCATTTTTAAAAAGCCAGCTTAATTAAAATCTACAGGGGCCGGCCGGTGGAGCAAGCGGTTAAGTGACGAGCTCCTCTGCAGCGGCCCGGGGTTCGCCGGTTAGGATCCTGGTGCGCACCGACGCACTGCTTGGCAAGCCGTGCTGTGGCGGCGTCCCATATAAAGTGGAGGAAGATGGGCACGGATGTTAGCCCAGGGCCAGTCTTCCTCGGCAAAAGAAGAGGAGGATTGGTGGATGTTAGCATAGGGCTGATCTCCTCACACACACAAAAAATTGTGAAACAAAAGCAAAAGAAAATACAACATAGCAAAATTTATGGAATGAAACAAATGCAGTT